GGACATCATGCTTAGTAGGGTGGAGGGACAGTGCAGGAGGGGAAGGCCCTCAATGAGGTGGACTGATTCAGTGACTGGGGAAATCAGGATGGGTGTGTCGGAGATGGAGCGATTGGCACAGGACAGAGCAGAGTTTAGGGCTGTTGTACACAGGGTCGCTATGAGTCGCAAGCGACTCGACGGCACATAACAACAACAACTGTGTTGTGTACTATCGAGTCAGAACCAACCCATAGCTGTTCCTCCAAGTGTTTTCAGAGGCTGTTAATCACACAGGAGGAGACTGTCCATCTTTCTCCCACAGAGAAGCTGGTGGATTGAGATTGCGTCCCATTGGAATTGCAATCTACTGCTATAAATTACTTACAGCAATAGATAAAGATGAGCATTTTCCTCTATAAATTCAGTTTTGCTATTATGTATCTTAGCCCCAATTTTATTTCAACTAAAAATATTACTTCTAAGATTAAATAAGCTATATAAATTTAAACATAAATGAATCATAGATTTTACTACTATAGAGAATAATCTCCAAAAAGCAAAATAAAATAAAAATATCTTTTTTGAGGCTAAATAATTTTGTACTGTGTTCTTTTCACTTGTTCTAACATACACCAAATAGCTATCATGAATATCATTCGCATGCTCTGTATTTTAGTGTGACCTAAGGAGTGGCATTCACTTCCTAAACAACATGCCTCCAGAAATTCTATGAACTTTGATAAATGTCGATAGTTGTAAAGGGGTTTCAGGCCTTTTGTTCATAGGGTTGTTATGAGTCATGCTTGAATTGAAAGCAATCAACAACAACAATCTACAATGATTAGGCTATAATGAAAATACTGCTATAATGTTGGAGCCTGCAGCCTCCACTCGTGGGGTTTGGCTGTTTGCTGCATCCTGATGGCAGTCCTGGTGGGCATGTAAAGGGAAGTTTTTGGTGTTATGTTTGATGTGTCTTACTGCTCTTTTCCCAAGAGCGGGTATCCTTGAGCCTTTGCCTAGGGTGGAAGTCTGCTTAAAGGTGTGGTTTTAAAATCCCGCAGGGGAAGGGGATGGGATTTTATTAATTTTTTAATGAATATTCCATAAACAATACAGCAATCTTTTGTCTGTTTGCTGAACTGACCAACTTGGTGTTGCTGTGATGCTGCACACTATTCCATAGTCTTGTCAAATACCATAATGGTTATCCAATATGTACAATGTTTGGATGAGTTTCCAGATTGATTTATGCTGGGAAGCAGAAGTGGCATCCACTTCCTAAACTAGATGGCTCTGGAAACTACAAACTCTCTAAACTCTGTAAATATACAGAAATGATGTTAGTAATAGAACAGAGTTTTGTACAGAAATGATGTTGCTAATAGAAAGGAGTTGAGGTCTTTTGTGCAAAACTTACACTCAACCATATTTGACATGATGACAATTAAGCACTGCTAAATGAAACTAGTGCTGTTGTACCTGGAGGAACACTCTTCCACTTTGTACATCACTCTTCGTCAATGTGCAGTATGAACTAACCTGGGTTTGTTGTGATGCTGAAACTTGTACCACTGGGGTATCGAATACTGGAATGGTTTCCCAGTGTAGACAGTGTTTGGTGGAGCTCCCAGTTGTAAAACAGGTTTGGAAGCAGGAGAAATGACTATAGTTATGGAAAGGTATTAGGTCTTTTGTTCACTATGAGTTGAGCTCAACTTGACGGCAATCAACAACAATAAATTATGTTGCTGTTGTTATGTGCCAAGTAAAACTAACTCATAGGTGACCCTCCAGCAGACTGACAAAGGCCATAAATCATAAAGGAGAAATATGCCTATCTTTTTCCCATTAGAAGCTGGTAGATTTGGATTGGCAATGCCACTTGTTAACAGTAAGCCATTATCTGGGATTGGAACAAATGGTTTGCAATCGGCTACTAGCCAAAAGGTTGTTGATGTGAAATCACTAAACAGTACCGCAAAAGAAACGCCCAGTGATTTGCTTCCATAAAGATTACAACCAAGACTATTCTAAGCAGTTCTACTCTGTGACATATGTTGTTGTTGTTGTTGTTATGTGCCATTGAGTCACCTATGACTCATAGCAACCCTATGCACAATAGCCCTAAACCCTGCTCTATCCCATGTAAATCTTAAGAGGTTTGACATAAATTGTAATCAGTTTTATGATAATGGATCAGTAGGAGTCACTGCTTATTTTAAGAGGTTGGAGGAGAATGAAATATTTGTAAAATTTTCTGCTTTTATAAAAACTTATTAAAAAGATCTTTTTTTAAAAGAACTCATTACTGAAAGTCAATCTAGAGAAATCAAAGACAATGTTCTTGTTAAGTAAAATCACATTTTATCAAGTAGAGTGAACATGCTATAATAATTCAATATTTAATAATTCTCAGAAAGTAACACATTCAGGCTGTAATCTTTAAGAAAATCTCTCTTCTATAGCACACATCTCTCTTCTATAGCACAATTAGTGGGTTTTGAAGCCATAACCTTTCAACTTTCAGTCAAATACTAAACCACCAGACTACCAGAGCTCTAACAGAACTACTGAGAAAATACACCTAAAACAGAAAAGACGTAGAAGTGAAAAGAGGAAAGAAAATATGTTATCTCCTAAATTATAAAATACTTATGAATCAGGCAATCATGGATGACACTAATATTTACTGACATTCAGATGGCACTTGCTTAGCTTAAAAACAAACACTAGCTGCATACAAAATTTCACAGGTTTATAGAAAAATTAAAATGTAGACACTGATTTATTTAGCTCAGTATCTTGAAAGAAGAGTCACATTAGTTTTGAAAAATATAAATGAACACTTCTGAGGAGACTATCAATCATGTTAGTTCCTGTTGTTGGGTTCTGGCGTGTTGAGTATGACCCACAGTGACCAATCAATTTGAACACTGTCCTATCCTCGGCCATCATCACAATCTTCAACACACTCAAACTCACTGCCACAGTCACTGTGCCAACCCACCCGGTTGACGGTCTTTAAATCATACTCAATTTTGTAACTATATTATTTACTTCAAATGTCAATAATTAAAAGACATGTAAAATAAATTATTATTTAGGCAAAAAGAAAAAGGGAGAAAATACTCTGATGTCCATACCACTCCACATATCCCTTCTCCCTATCCAGAGATTTAAGAAATGTCATAATACTTGTTTAATTATCTGTTTAACCGTCGACAATGTAAGACACAGGAGAGCAAGTACTAGCTATTCTGTACCTCCAATTCCCAGAAAAGTGCATAGCACACCACTGGCACTTAAAACTATATATGAGTGAATAAATACATAAATGAGCCCAACGATCTTACCTGGTACTTAGGACACTGGTCTTTCATGTCAGAAGATGAAGTCATAGAACTATCCAAGGAAGATGAACTGTCTCCCCCAGGTTTCAACTGGCAGCACTTCCCAAAGACTTTGACTTGAGCATCACTACAGAGTTTCTGAAATATGGACATTAATCCTATTTATAGCTTATTTTCCCACCATGTACAAATTAAGTTCATAGTAAAAGAAAACAAGAAACAACAACAACAAAAAAAACAAAATCAACAACAACAAAAGTAAAAAAAATAACCAACCACCCCAAACCCTGGAAAAACTGAGGTTGAAAGTACTAAAAATAATATCATGAACATTTACATTTTACTGTATTTTCTTTAGTCTTTCTATTCTTTGATGCATAATTGTAATATTTATGGAGTTCATATTTTGTTTTCTTAGTAACATGGGAATATTTCTATACTGCTATGATCCACACAAATTGCATTATCGGTAACGTAGTATGATACGGCAATTTTAAAATTCTTTACTCATAAAACTCCTTGAGCTCTCCAAAGATTTATTTACATAGGTTATGTTTATCAATATTTTGCTATATTAGAAATTTAAAGTGAAAAACATTAAAATACTATTTCATTTGTAAATAATAATGGACTCATTACAAATTAGCATAAGTCACATATTTTTATGAAAAAATAACCTTTTCTGGAGAGAAACATACACATGAAAAATGCAAATGAGACATACATACACACATATGTACATACAAAAAAGTATGTGTTGCATAATGGTTATGATGCATTCTGTGAAAAAGGACATTCTGTTATCTGGATACTGTGTGAACACCATATTAAAACCTCATGGAAACCTGTTGCCAGCCATCCTTCCTGCTGCTGCTGTTGCTACAAGACAGCAATAAAAACCACTGGCAAATCTGGAGGAATGGGTGGCAAGTGGCTGCTAAGAGGTGGTGGGGAGAGCCAAGTGAGGCAAGAGCAAAGCGTGGCCAGCCCTTCCACTGTTCTGCTAGTCCATCTACCTCTGCCTCAGACAAAGCTCAAAAGCTTGTAACCTGAGTTATGTTCTCTGCCTCATCTGATGGTATCCAGTCCTTCCTGCAAGAGTCTAGGTCTGAAGTCCTTAAAACTATTAAGAACAACTACAAAAAATCAAAGCAAACACTTTGTAATTATATTGACTCCAATTCTTATCAATTGTAGAGAAGAGTGAATTGCTACCTTAAAGGGTTGCCAAGGCTATAAATCTTCTCAGAGACAGGGTGCCCCATCTTTCTCTCTGGAACAGTGGATAGGTTGAAATTGTTACTATCTGGTTAGTAAGTAAGTGTTTTGATCCCTGTATTACCAGGGCCCCTTTTAAAAGCATTGCTGTTGTGTGCCATGGAGTCAAAACCAATTCATAGCTGACCCAACAGTGGGTTTTCAGAGGCTGTAACTGCATGGGAGGGGGACTACCTATTCTCCAGAGAGGCTGGTGGATGCAAATTAGGTATCTTTGAGATTGCAGTGCTGCTTCTTACCACTAGGCCACCAGCGCTCTCTTTAAAACCATTCCAAAAAAATAGTAAACAAAAAGAGAATTTTACCTTTTAAGACCCCTAAACCCTTAGGAGAACATAAACATATATGTGGTTGGACACTGTCCATATGGACATTGATGTGTTGACCAGCAAAAATTCTCCTAGGAATAAAGCTCAGAAAAAGAAGTCTGTTATGATTATAGAGAAAAATGTATACTGTTTTATTTCTTTTGTTTTCTCTCACAGAATAGGTTCCAAGAGTTTTCATAGCTCTTAACCACCAAAGCAACAACTCACCATGCTGTTATACTCCAAAAAACTTCTTAATGCTGAAGATGGTAACAAAAGCAATGAAGAACGCTCCTTCCCCTCCCCAAACTGAAGCCAAAGCAAAGATGTTAAAGGCCAAAAATGCAGTCCTGAAGAGCATACACAGGCACCAAAAAAAAAGGGAGATCCGCACATCACCCACCTTCTGGAGGCATGTTGTTGTTGTTGTTATGTGCCATCGAGTCGTTTGCAACTCATAGCGACCCTATGCACAACAGCCCTAAACCCTGCTCTGTCCTGCGCCAACCTCACTGCCTCCAACACACCCATCCCGATTACCCCAGTCACCGAATCAATCCATCTCATAGAGGGTCTTCCCCTCCTGCGCTGTCCCTCCACCCTCCCAAGCATGATGTCCCTCTCCAAGGACCCGTCCCTCCTGGCAACATGTCCAAAGTATGTCAGACGAAGCCCCAGAATCCTTGCCTCCAAGGAGTAGCTTGGTTTAATCCTCTCCAAGATGAATCTGTTTGTTTTCCTGGCAGTCCATGGTATATTCAGTACTCTTCTCCAGCAACACAGCTCAAAGGCATCAACTCTCCTTCTGTCCTCCCTAGACATTGTCCAACTCTCTGATGCATAACAAGCGATTGCAAAGACCATGGCCTGTATCAGGCGCACCTTAGTCTCAAGAGAGACACCGTTGCTCTTGAGTACTTTAGAGAGGTCCCTAACAGCAGACTTTCCCATCGCGATACGCTTTTTGATTTCCTGACTGCTGGTGCCAAGAGTGTTGATTGTGGAGCCGAGCAAACTGAAGCTGTGAACAATCTCAATCTCTTCGCCCTCCATCCTGACGCTGCCAAGTGGTCCAGTGGTGAGAATCTTTGTCTTCTTGACACTGAGCCTCAGTCCATACTGAAGGCTGCAGTCCTTGACCCTTTGCAGCAAGTGCATGAGGTCCTCTCAGTTTCAGGAAGCAGAGTTGTGTCATCTGCGTAATGCAGACTGTTAATAGATCTTCCACCAATCCTGATGCCACAATTCTCATAGAGCCCAGCCTCTCAGATAATCTGCTCTGCATACATGTTGAAAAGTTATGGAGACAGGATGCATCCCTGGCGTACGCCCTTCCCAATTTTGAACCATGCAGTGTTACCCTGCTCTGTTCTGACGACTGCCTCTTGGTCCAAGTATAGGTTTCGCATTAGCACAATTAAATGTTCTGGGATTCCCATTCTTCTCAGAGTCAGCCACAGTTTGTTATGATCCACACAGTCAAACACCTTTGCATCATCAATGAAACATAGATAGACATTCTTCTGGTATTCTCTGCTTTCAGCCAAGATCCATCTAACATCAGCAACAATATCCCTAGTACCACGACCCTTTCTAAACCCAGCCTGGACTTGCGGCACTTTTCTGCTGATGTGCTGTTCTAATCGTTTTTGGATAATCTTCAGTAGAATCTTGCTTGAAGACACTGATATTCTGGAGGCAGCTCAAATACCCCCAGAAGAGAGCCCTCAGGAGAAACAAGCCTGACCACTTATGCCACTCTCAAGTTTCCCCTGACCACTGAGGCATCATGAAGGAAACAGAAGATAACACACTGTGTTCATTGTGGATGTCAAGGCCAATAAGCACCAAATCAAACAAGCAGTAAATTCGAAGCTTTATGACACTGATGTGCCCAAGGTCAACACCTACTTCTGTCTCAAAGCTCAAAAGCTTGTATCCTCAGTTATGTACCAACTGAGCCCCGCTGGCTAATTCTAAATTAAAGGTTTTTCTCACCATTAAATAAAACACACCAAAAAACCCTCCTAATGCTTTATCACATTGGTAAGTATGTCTAGTTTTCCAATCTCTCCTATATGATTAACTGCCTCTGAAAGACTCACTAGATGGTCAGCTATGATTTGGTTCCAACTCGATGGCATATAACAGGAGATCTAAAGCAGCTTTTCAGGAGAAGAAATAATTTGACTAAAACCACATTTTTGGAAGAGAAATTATTTTATCCTCTTTTTCCGTCGAATGACTGTCTCCTGGTCTATACACAGGTTCTGCCATTAGCTAAAATTATGTGTTCTGAAATTTTCACTCCTCATATTATCCATATTTCATAATGAGACACACAGTCAGATGACTTTGGACAGTTAATAAAATGTAAGTAAACATCTTTCTGGTATTCTTTGGTTTTGCCAAGATCAGGAATGATAACAGAACAAGGAGATAATGCATTGTATAAAATCAAGAAAGGGGTTACCATACTCATTCACCCACTCCACTAAGAAAATAATCCAAGAAGCTAAACTATATGAAGAACACTGGATCAGAAATGGAGGAAGATTAATTAAAAACCTACAATATGCATATGACACAACCTTGCTAGAGGAAAACAACAACTCAGCCAATAAGCAGTATCAAACTAAAAAAAAAAAAAAAGTTAAAAGTTTGAGGTTGTCAAAGATTTCACTTTGCAATCCACAATCCCCCACTGAAGCACTAAAGAAATCAAGCAATGTATTGCATTAGGCAAATTTACTTCAGAGAAATTATTTAAAGTGCTAAAAATCAAGGACACCACTTAGAAGACGAAGATGTACCTGTCATATAAGTCATGGAATTGTCAGTAACCTCACACGTAAGGGAAAACTGGATATTTAACAAAGGAAAACTGATGCCTTTGAAGTATGGTCCTGGCAAAGAATACTGAATAAACCATGGACTGCAACAGCAAACAAATCAGTGGAGTAAGTATAGACAGAATGCTTCTTAGAAGTGATGATACTGGGATTTTTCTCACATATTTTGGGTATATTATCAGGAGCGGCCAATTCCTGGAGGAGATCATACGTGATTAAGCTGTTGTTGTGTCTTGGTATCTCTGGTATACTCAAGCCCATTGTTACAGTCACCGTGTCAATCCAACTTGTTGGAGGTCTTCTCTTTTACTGACTCTTCACTTTTCTCAGTATGATGTCTTTTTTTTTTTAGTTGTCACCAATTTCAATTGGATCCACACTCAATACCTAAGGCAGTAGCAGTCAAGAAATTAAATAGCATATTTCATTGGACAAAGCTACTGTCCAAGTCCTTTCTAAACTGCTAAAAAGCAGTTCAAGACTAAGGTGCATCTGACCCAAGCCATTGTATTAATTTTTTAAAAAATTTATTTTAATGAAAGTTTACAGAGATTTTGGATTTCCATTCATTCATAGTTGCACACTTTCCTCCCTGTCCACCCTACCCCACCCAGTTGACTTTTATCTTTGAAAAAAAAAACAATTATTTCATTGTTATACAATTTCCCCCCACCCCCAATGGTCCACTCCACTATGTAGC